TATGTATATGATGGCAACCGTCAAACTTAGAAGAGTAATGATGGAAAGCCTATAATAAAGGCAACTATCACTTCGTGAATAGTGGGATTAACGAAGCTTTGAAAAAGGGTGCAAAATGGCAGAATCAATCAAAAGGTGACACATGGACAAAACATTAAATGGAAAAGACAATTGAGACGACAATATTGTCATACGCATTGATTATGGCAAAAATTCCTTTTTTACGAAGGTCCACTTCCCAATTATTTAATTGATAAATAAATGGAAAGTGGGGGGACTATCTGTATTGGGAAAAAAGTTGAATTTATATTGAAGATGACGTCGCGTGACACGTGGACTGGACAAGTGGTCAAAGCGTAACAATTGGGAAAAAGGTACGGGAAACGACAAGTACGGGAAGAAGAAGTGAAATAGGCACGAGAAGCAGCTTAGACACGAGTCTCGTACCAATTCGAAGTCATTTAAGGCCAGTGGGTCGAAAGGCATTGAAGACATGAATCTGAAGACAAAAAGGAGTCCAAATTCAGTATTAAATACCTGATACGTTAGAAAATTGGTATTTATTAGGAATGATTGTGTAACGGCTCATTTAATGTCATTTATTGTCCATAATTGTCTCATTAAAGCTTATGTTTTATTCCTTTACCTAGAACCAACTATAAAAGGAGGAAGTTGTATTGGGAAAAGGACATCATTTACATCATACTGAAATAAAAAATTTTGTTTACTGCTTTATTATTATTCTCAGAAAGCCTATTATTATTTTGGTCTCTTGATTATCAGTAACCCGATTTTTCATCTCAAATTCTAGTTTTATCCAAAATATTATTTCTTTGGTGAAACAGTACGGGCTTTGGATAAACCCGTTACCAAAGAGCAGATAAGACTTTTTTTACTTTTAGCCCGCGCCAAAAACTATTTATATTTGGTAATTTATATATTTTTTTGTGTATATATATAAAAAAAATATACATTTTTCAGTTATTATTTTGAGGGCGCAGCGTCTTTTTTCCGAGATACGCCCATGCTAAGCCCAATTCCCAAAGTTGACCCGGATCTCATTTTCAAACACTTTGTAGACATTTAATTTCTCATGCACATGATGATCAACATAGTATTTTTCATTTATTTAGTTCTGACAACATTTACTCTCCGGTCGAACCTCATTAATTTCTTTCCGATTCATCCGCGGATCCTCGCTCCAACGCTTTTCAATACTTCTTCCATTTAATTTGCAGCTACATCTTCACACACACAAAATGTCCGTAGCTAACTTACCTGATTCGGCAACCGGAGTAATTAGCCTCAGATATGGTATCGCCATTATCATTGGCATTTTGATACTCATTTCTCTAATCATGTTTGCTTCCTACGCTTGTCTTCGTGTCAAATTAGCTGCTTCTTCTACCACTGAAGATTTCAGACCTGCATCTTCCAATGGGACTATATATAGTTACTTCCTAGGATTGGATCAGCCTGTTATAGAGTCATTTCCTACAGTGGTTTTAGGTGAAAGCATGAGATTGCCCAGTCCAATTAATACAAATCTATGCGCTATATGCTTGTGTGAGTATTGTGCGAAAGATTTGGTTCGTTGTATACCGGAATGTAAACACTGTTTCCATGCCGATTGTGTTGACGAATGGTTGCGGAAGAGTGGGACTTGTCCAATTTGTAGGAAATCTCCAGCTAATTCTCCATCTATCGGTCCAATTTCGAGTAATACTCCTCTTGCCCAATTAGTACCCTTGGCTTATTATCAGAGATGATAATATTGTTGCAAAGGTGTAGGTATTAATTAAATACGTTATAATTTGTATAGTACTTCTTGTTTTGAATTCTCTCCTTTTTTGTTTTCTTATTACAATTTGTGTACAATCTCGTTCCTAAATTTATGCAGAAATTGTTTAAGTTCTTGTTTTAAATTTATCATTTTCTATTTTTTGTTACCTTTGAGTGGTGTGTAACGCATTTCGCCACTACAATAAATGTGATTTTTTAACCACGAAATTATTAGCTACAATAGAAAATTAGTCACTATTACCCATTTTCTATGACAAAAGCTACATTTCGTACTTAAATGCATTAGACATACACTTTTTAGTGATAAAATTGGTTCGTGACAAGGGGTATGTAACTGGAAATTGGTTATAGTTCAAGAAGATATCTATACATTTTCCCTAAGACTTACATAAAGTTCTTGTTTCGGTTATATTTGTACACTTACATAAATTAAAGTTCATTATTAGTTATATACGTTTTAGTTGTCATTTTTGTTGCCCGCATAAATAAATACATACATGAATTATGTAGGGATCTATGTATTATCTTATAGAAAATTGAATAAGAATACAGAGTTAAAGCAACTAAATTTTTCAAAATAACCTCCATACATTGAACAATATTCTTTTTTTTTTTTAAAAAACGTAAATAAACAACATATTAGATGGAAAAAGGAAAAACTAAACCACAAAATTTTACCTTCAAATTATACATACGTCCAAGTAAATAATACTTCTATACTAATTCCTAGCATTATAATCAATTGCAATACTATCCCTAGATTATAATCCCTGTTATTCCCTGCATAATCTAATCAAACTGACCCTAAGGACATTTGGAAGAGAATTCTATTCCGTAGCATAAACTTTTAGGACGTCTATTTGTCCATAGATTTTTTTTTTTACCAGTAAAAT